CAAGGCTCTCAGCACAGACCTGTATCATGGTACAGCATACCCAGGGTTATAATTACACATTCCCAACCCTGTCTCTTCCAAGAGTCTGGGAGTTCCTCAACGGCAAAAATCATGTCTTATCTTTTGAATCCTCAGTACCAGTCAAATAGGAGGCATTCAGCAATATTTACTGACCAAACAAATGCCCCTCATTCCAACAGGCTACCCAAAACAAAGCTAGTGGCCAAGATCTCTAACCAGCAACTCAAGCCTGTGCATCTGGGTTCATATGCCTGAGCACGCACGCACACGCACGCAAGCTGGAGGTGCTGGGGGCCCCAGCGCTGGTGTAGTCAGCTCTTCCAGACATCTGTGAAGTAGGCTCCTTTCCTCAGTTCACAGGAAAGAAAAGGCCCCAGCTGGACAGGGCGGCCTGGCCGGGCTGGTCTGGAAACCCACACATCAGGGCAAGCCTGGGGTGCTGAGGAAACACTAAGAGGTCTGACTTCCCCTGGAAAAACTACAGTCAGACAGGAAACACACGGGCGAGGACGGCTAGCTCTGGAGATCCGGACACGTGCTCTCGCCCCTCTCCCATGGGGAGCAAGCAGCCAGCACAAAGAAAATCCCCGATGACACAGGCCTGCCCTCCTCAGGCACTTAGGGCCCAGCCTTCAGAGCTGGCCTCTTGGTCTACCTCCTCAGCAGTCTGACAGCCACAGGTGTCAGACTTCAGACAGCTGGTGTCAGCGTCACCTCATCTGAGTCTGACCACCTTGTCCAGGCGGTTTGCTTTCTTCTGCCCCTTCCCACCTCCCATCATCAAAGGTATTATCACTCGGTATTGTCGCTGCGGCTTCAGCTTCCCTGAGGGCAAGGGCCTGTTTTCATTCACCACCTGAGGAAGCCTGGGGTCTAGAAGGGTATCAATGGAAGGAGCAAAGACGAGAGCCTGGAGCTCTGACAGTCCCCACGGGCATGCCTGGCCCACACTCAGAGCCCTTCACGGAGCCACCACCAGGCCACCGGGCCTATGGTGAGCCTTGACTGAACACCTCACCCTAGAAGGAAAAGTGTGAAGCCAGGGCATAGAGAAGTTGAGGATGTCTGTAAGGTACAGCCTCCTCAGAGCAGCAACACAAGACCACAAGGATGGGGGCCCGAGGCCAACTCACAGCACAACCCAAGAGCTCAGACTGCCGGCCCAACACTGGCTGGAGAGCTGGGGCCAGCTGAGGCCATCACACAGCGGCACTCTCAGCCGTGGCATCATTCCTTCCCACATCTCCACTGCCTCATCTGTAAAGTGGGATGGGACTCTGGACCACCCCCCAGGGCCCCTGTGAGGCTCAGCCAAGAAAACATGATGAGAAGTCTCTGTAGCACTCAGCAGGAAGTCTGTACTGCTTTGTACTCAGTGTCTGTAACATAAAAAGCCAAACATCTACCTGGTTCCTGTCACACCACCGTGACAACCGGCACCAAGGCACCTTCCTACCCCTCTTTTGAGCCAAACTCCCACCCCAGAAATGAGCACATGCAGCCCCATTTCACAAGTGAGAGGTAAAGTGGGAGGGCACAGAGGCTGGAACGAGGTCCGGTACGTGAGAACTGTGCCATTCACTGAACCCGCCTCTCCTCAGGGCCACGCACACCCTGAGGATCCCGGAAGTGTCTCTTTCTTTGGCCAGGCTACAGGCACCGCTTGGCAGCCTGGCATGGTCAGCAGAAAAAGGCCAGATGCTTGAGGCATCTGGCTAAGGGGCCAGGAGGCAAGAGACCTCGACGGCAGTCCAACCTTCCTCAGAGCGTGCAGAGGGGGCTGCAGGGCTCAGAACCCACCAACGAGCTGCACCCAGGAATGGGCAGCAGTGGGGCAGCTTCAGTGGGAGGCTCAGACATTTAATATGTCTGAACACACAAGCATCTACTAGCCTTCTCACTCAGACTCCTCAATTCGGGCCTCCAAAATCAAAGGGCCAGGGCCCCTTCTGCATCCTTTGCCCATGCTCCAAGCCTCTCAAATCCCAGCTAACTGATGAGATCACTGATCTGTACCTCTCTGGCCGACCCACCAGAGGGGGCTGGGGTCATCACACCCTCTGCATTCCCACCTCCACCCTCTTGCCTCCATACCCCTACCTTCTGTACAGGCTCCAACTTACAAGAGTCACACCCAGGAGTCAGGTGTGCAAATCTCCTTATACTTAAAACTCTACACACTGTTCTACATGGTAGGTAAGTGAGGAGCAGATGGGTCGGGGCAAAACAAAACCATTTCCTCCCTTTTCCGGGCAGTGATCTAAGAGAAATGTGAACTGGGTCCTGTCTTCCCTTCCTGCACGCTCACCCTCTTCTACGGCCATGTATTTCCAGTCCAGGGCCTAGGAGAGCAGTCATGGTTTATTACTGTTATTATTAACTGCTCCACCTATTAAACATTTACAATGTGTCAGGGACTGTACTAGATGTTTTACCTCAATTTTCTCATTTAACCCCCAGAGTAACCACATATAGTGGATATATTATTACTCCCATATTACAGGTGCAGAAAGTAAGTCTCAGAAAACATAAGTAGCTGACCAGAGGGATACACAACTATATATGCGCTTCAAATCCAGCCCTGTCTTCAACCACTATGTTGCACTTACTGCCTGCTGGTCACATGCATGGTCTGAAATGCAGCCTGTTACCCAGGAGATCTTTATCTGGGAACCTCCAGCCAATGCCACCAATTCAGGAGAGCATAGGGAGCACCACAGAAAGAAGGAAGGGGCCATGCCTGGAGTCTGATGCCTGGATGATGTTCCCAGGACCATCTCAGCTCTCTGCAGTGTCTGTCCTTCCTCCACTTTGGAATCCAGTCTCTCAAATACTAAAATTTGCTCCCAATGACTGACAGGGCTGATGGGGGCATCTAGGAAGGCAGCTGCAATTTCAAAGTTCAACAGCTGTGTCAGATCTGGAGTTTGTAGTTGAGGACGGCTGCCTCACCACAAGACCTTCCTTCCACCTAATCTCCTCAACCATCTACATGCAAGTACACCATACCCAAAGAGGTCTGTAGGACCTTCCCTTGGGGGTGTCACTTCCTGATCCCCCTCCTACTCCAATGGACCTAGTTCTGAGCCTGGCTGTGTCTAACACCAGTCTCTGGGGATCCTTGCAGGAAGCAACCCACAGACTGGGGTTGCAGACACATCATCTCTCACACTTGGAGGTGGGAGGATGGAGGGCAGAGCTGGGTGCCCATCCGGCCGCAGGAGAGGCACGCGTTTGGCACACATTCAGTGGAATAACACTCTGAAAGATCTGGGGTTTTGCAAAATCCCCCAACTCTCTCCTTTGCAAAAGCACCCAAGCCCAGGCCTGCGAAGGCAAAAAGGCAGGATATTAAAAGTAGCCACTCCTGGCTCCTTGCAGCCATGGGACATAGGACTTAGGGCACAAAGGGCTAGACTCCCAGAATGGCTGTGTGCTCTGGAAGAGAACCCGACACAAGGCACTGAGGTCGGCTTTTCTGAGGCCAAGCTCTTGAGGAGATACTTCCAAGGGCAAGGGGAGTCCGTCCCCTTTACCGAAAGTCCCTGTCCTGGCTTTGAGTGTCTGCCCACTCACACAGATCTCCAAAATTCAGCTTCAGGACAAAAGAACAGCAGGAAAAAGCAGCCTCTGCCTCCTCTCAGACTTTTCCAAACCAAATAGGACCCCCTTCCTCCCTCTCTCCCCAAGAGAGAGATGAGTAGGCCTGGCTCTGCTCCAAAACCAGCCCTACCCCAACATCTGCCTAAGTTCTACTTAGGGAACCCAAAGGTTCCTTTGTAAGTAAGAGCCCAGCCTGGAGGCCCGAAGTTTTACCAAGACTGCTCTTTTTGGAGAAAGGCTGCATTTGGTCCGACCCTCGATTCTGGGGCTGGGTGGGGGACGCTGCCTTGGCTTCCCTCGTCTCATCGCACACCACTCCTGGGGTGTGGGGGACCTGATGCCTGCCCCGCTTGTCTCCAGTCCGCTAGAATTTTTAGGCCTCTGGGCAATGCGCCTGGAGCACTCCCCCCGGCTGGGGGAGGGGGTGTCCTGTCAGGTGACTGAGGACCCGGATGCCCCCCGCCCCGGTGACCACCCGGGCCGAGGGGGGGCGGGGCCCGGAGGGCGTGGGGGAGGGCCTGAAAGTTTGCCCAAGTCTCTTCAGCGGCGGGCTGGGGCGCGCGGGAGCCGGGAGCAGCCCCCCGCAGCCCCCGAACGCGTAGCGGGCCCTGGGGAGGGGAGCGCACTTACTGGCCCCCTCGAACTTGTCGGCGCCACGGCTCCAAATGATCTGCCGCGTCTCCAGCTTGACCTGGAAGGTCTTCCGCTCGGGCCGCTGCGACTTCTTGGAGTAGAACAAAGTCATGACGGTGCCCACCTCGAGGTTGCGGCAGAGGTTCAGCACCTCAGCGTCCGAGGGCGCGCCGGGCCCGCAGCCATTGGCACAGGGGGACGCGGCGCCCGCCATGGCTCTGGCGCAGGGGGCGGCACAAGCGGCGGCGACGCAGGCCCGGC